GTGGAAAATCCATCAGCTGCAGCCACAGCAGGGGGCTCCAGGGAGCAGGTTCATTACATCCAAGGTTTGTTATTATGAAGGATGTACTGTATTTTGTATAGCTAATTATACAAATCCATACACTAGAATGATCAAAATCAATATAAGAAGAAGTTACTCACCCGGTGCAGTAATGTTGGTTCTTCAAGATGTGAGTCCTTCAAGGGTGCTCCTCTCAGGTCTCAGTGCATCCTGGTGCCGCTGATCGGAGATTTTTGATGAGCAGTGCTCCTCGCACTGCATCTACTCACACAGCGTCTCATGTCTCTGTTGTTTGTGGAGTGCACGCGCAGCACGAGCCCTGTGTGTTCCTTTACTACCCCTAACGACTTCAAGCAGAGGGGAAGACAGGAGGGTAGTGGAGCACCCACAGGTACACACATCTCGAAGAACCATCGTTACTGCACCACTTCTTCACCAAGTGATGTTCCTGCGGGTGCTCCACTCAGGTGACTAAGTAGCAGTACTTGCCAGATGGCGGTGGGCATTGGAGTCACTTATGAAGAGGAAAGAAGGATCTGCCAGAGATGTGGAGGGTATTGGCCCTTTCTGTAGGGCGCAATGCTGTGCGAAAGTATGATGGGAGGACCATGTGGCTGCTCTACAAATGTCCACCAATGGTATGTTATTTAGGAAGGCTGTTGTTGTGGCCATCGAACGTGGAGCGTGAGCCCTGATAATCTGTGGTGGCTGCTTGCCACAAAGTTCATAAGCTATATGTATGCAACTGGCATCCATTTGGATAGACACTGTGCTGAGACGGTTGTTCCTGTATGTGACCCAGACCAAGCTACAAAGAGTCTATCTGATTTTCTGGTTCCCTTAGTTCTATCCAGGTAGAATGCAATCACTCGTTTTGTATGTAACGTGTGCAAGATGGCCTCCTTGGAGGAGTTATGAGGTTTAGGAAAATAAGCAGGTAGGTAAATGGGTTCATTTAAGTGGAAGTCGGATATGACCTTTGGGAGGGACTTTGGGTGAGGCCTGAGTATAACGTTATCCTTGGTAAAGGTAGTGAATGGTGGGTCAGCCATGAGGGCTGCAATTTCGCCTACCCGTCTTGCTGATGCTATTGCCACTATAAAAGCCACCTTCATGGATAGATACTGTGGTGATGTAATGGTTAGTGGCTCAAAGGGTGGCCTGGTGAGGGTGTTGAGAACCACGTTCAAGTCGCACGGTGGCACCGGGGGCACAGGTTTGGGTGTGTTTTCCATAGGCCTGTGAGAAATTGCTTCACCATGGGATGCGCAAAGAGAGAGAAGTCATCCACAGGTTCATGGAACACCGCGACCACCACCAGGAGGACACGGAGAGAGCAGATAGAAAGACCCATGTCGCCGAGGTCCATGAGATACTCCAGCATGGTATATATAGGGGCAGTGTTGGGATGTAAATTGCATGTTGTGCACCATTGCTGAAAACATATCCATTTGTTTTGGCAGGTGCTTCTCATGGAGGGCCATCGACTGTTCAGTAGGATGTGTTTGACCCTGTCTGAACATGTAAGTTCTTCACTCTGGAACCATGGAGAAGCTATCACATGAGTTTCAGAGTTTTGATGTTCAGATGGCACGTCCTGCTGTGGTGCTGCGTTAAGAGGTTCGGCACCGCGGAGAGAGGAATGGGTTGATCTATCAAGAGGTAGTGTAAGTAAGGGAACCAGGGTTGTCTCGGCCAGGCGGGAACTATTAGAATTACTGTGGCCTAGTCGGAATGGATCTTGTTGATCACTCTGGCAAGAAAAGGGATTGGTGGAAAGGCACAGAGAAGGGGAGCCGCCCAGCGGATGGTGACAGCATCCACCTCCGACCTTTTGCCCAGTCCTGCACAGAAGCAGAACTTGTGGCATTTGTGATTAAGTGGAGTTGCAAAAAGGTATATAGCTGGGAAACCCCATTAGCGAAAAACAGAGAGGAGAATACCGGTATTGATATCCCACTTGTGTTGGTCTGATAAGTGTCTTCTCATGAGAAGAGGGACAGGGTAGGGGGAATGGATGTGAAGGGGATTGTGTAACCAGGCCCCATGCATTACGACTGCTGCGGCTGTGACCCTAGCCGCCGTGTCAAAGTTACATCCATTTCAGCCTAGAGGGCTGTTTTTTGCTATAGATAATTAATGATGGACTGGAGGTGCAGTCTCTTAATGTCAGGAAGGTCCTGAAGCAGGTCCTGTAGTTTAGCATAGTTGGCATGATCACAGTTAGCCAGGAGGGCTGTATAATTTGATATTCTGAATTGGAAGGTGGCAGAAGAGTACACCTTGCCGCCAAAGGTGTCCAGCCGCTTATGCTCTTTGTCGCGGGGTGCAGATTTAAAATGTGGGTTCTTAGCCTTGTGATTCACCAAGTTTACAACCTGTGAGTTCGGCTGGGGATGTTCAAAGAGGAAGTCCACATCTTTTGCAGGGACAAAGTATTTTCTATCTGCCCTGAAGTTTGTTGGGGGGATAGAGGCAGGATTTTGCCACAGCACATCTGATAGCTCCAGGATAGCTTTGTTGATGGGTAGAGCTATTGTTGAGGATGCCAGTGGTTGTAGTATCATCAGTAATTTGTATTGCTTACCTTGAACCTCTTGGAGTGTAATGTCCTGAGATATCCGCTTAAATAGTTCTTGAAATTGTTTTAGATCGTCTGCCAGTGGAGAGGGAGACATCTGGGAAACTGCCTCGTCTGATCTTGTGGATCTGGGGTCATGTGAGGAACTCTCCGAATCTGAATGAGGTAAGTTATGGTTATCACTGGAGCCCATGTGTGTTATTATTGAGAGCGGGTGAGACAGTGAGGAATGTGCGAATATGGTTGGGAAGCATACAGACGTGTGCTGTTGTAACAGAGGAGCTGTATCTCTTGGGTGGTAAGCATGGGAGGAACATGGCCGGTACCCCTGCCATGGTTCCCAGGGGCCATTGAGGCTAGAACTGCTGTGGAGGATACATCCACAGCTGGTTGGACCACAGGGGATGTTGTTGTAGGGAATGATCCTGATATGAATGCCAGGAAGTCATTGATCCCGAGGGAGATGAATGGTATGATAAAAATCTGTTCCTATGTCCACTGCCATAGTCAGCTCTTAGTGAGAGCAGCGTAGGAGAGTGGGGAGCCCTTTCTGGCATATGAGCATATATAAGACACCACTGAGGAGCATGGTGAGCAAGCTCCTGATCTGAGCAGTGTGCCTGGCTGAGAATTTTGTAAGTGCTGCGTCTTGAATAGCATCTTCTTATGCTGCAGTGCGGTCGAGTTCGATCTCACCAGTATGTTCAGGCACCGTAGAGGTGCTGGTGGGAGCTAGTGGTGGTGGCATATGCCACTTTGTAGGTGCCGCTACCGCAGCAGCACCGACTGGTGCAGTGCACTTAAGTTCTGATTCAGCTCACCTGGCTGGTGCAGACTTGCGTTTCTCCATGGTGCCGGAAACTGATGGCACCGGGGAATGAGAGGCTCTGGGCAGTGCTGGTAATGAGCGTGACAGGGAAGCCTACGAAGCTTGTGAGGGTGGTGAAGCCGCCCTGTCAACCGGCTTCTGCTGTCCCCATGTGTCCTCAGGTTTGCCCCGTGGTTGCAGAGGAGGTTTTTGAGCCGTGTTTCGCGGTCCTTTCTAGCTCTAGCTGTCATGTTCTGACAGTGAGGACACTTTTGTGCTGCACGAGTCTCTCTCAGGCATTTAACACAGGAGGCATGGTCATCAGAAATAGGCATCGAGTTTCAACATGAGTCACATCTTTTAAAGCCAGGAGAACCTGGCATGTTGAAGAAAAAAGCCACATCGGCGGTGCTTTTCTGTCTGTCTCTCTTTTTTTTAAAAGCGAACATTGAAAACTATCATTAACTGGCTAAACTATGAAGAAAAGTCTAAACTAACTATAGTAATTTTGTTTTCCCTGTCAGGAAGACGAGCACTACCCTGACTCTGTCTTCAGCTGAGGATGGTAGAAAAGGAACTGACAGGGCTTACGCCACGTGTACACTCGACAAACGGCAGGGGCGCGAGAAGCAGGGTGTGCAGGCACAGTGCAAGGGGCACTGCTCACCAAAAATTTCTGATCAGTGACGCAAAGATGTACCAAGACCTGAGTGGAGCACCCACAGGGACACCACTTGATGAAGAATCACAGTTTACTGAAGATGGTAGCAAGTTACTAAATGTTAGACTATTAGAAATATAAACTCAATTTCATTTTAATAAAATATACAGTTTACTAACAAATACTTTCATACATTCTACCACCCTTAGGGTATGTCTACATTGCCACCCTAGTTCGAACTAGGAGGATTAATGGTAGTTCGAATTAGGAGCTTTAATTCAAACTACCTAGTCCGTGCCGCATGTAGCCTCGGGCAGGGAGTTCGAACTATGGGGCATTTAAAAATGGCAGCGCCTGGGAACATGCAAGTTCATTTGCAAGTTCGAATGCCTACATTAGCCACCCTAGTTCGAACTAGGGTGACAGTGTAGACATACCCTTAGAGTACATCTACACTGCACAGGTACTTCAGGATACCTCGCATCTACACAAGCCGCCCACTATTTCAAAATATTTTTCAAAATAACGGGCGTGCTATTTTACCATCCCAGTAAACCTCATTGCACAAGGGATAAAAGATGGCTTGAAATGGCATGCTATTTTGCAATTGGCGCCGTGTAGCTGCACCAAATTTGAAAATAAGCTAGTTTGAAAGAGATTTGAGATAAGATATGCAATTTGCATAGCGCAAATTGCATATCTTATTTCGAGGTTAGGGTGCTGTGTAGAAGCACCCTTACTGACACTAAGTACACTAGTCTCCCAATAATCTCTTTGGAATTAATGGGACAATTTATAGGGGAAGATACTGCTCAATGAAAGAAAAGATGGAAGATTTAGGTCTGTAGTTTTAATCACCTTCCTTTATGTTTTGTCATCCTGTTTTCATATTATTTTGAAAAAACAGCCTCTCATAATTTTTCTCTCAATCTCTTTAATGAATGTGCAATATTAGCCTGAGGTAAAATTGACACTTACTGATACAATGTCTATTAATTTATTCAGTTTACTATGAAATTCTATTTTTTTCCATGCAATTATAATTATAGTCTGCGTTGTGTCAATTATTTGTTATATAATTATTAAGCAAGAAGTACTTCACTACTAAAGAAAAAGCACTAACTGCAAAGAAAGCAACTTCTATCTTGTATCAGTGTTTTGAAAACATAATCCTAACATTTGCTTTTAAAATAAATTATAAAATGTCAGTTTTTATTAAGTGGATATGCAAAAATTAGCATAAAAAGTCTGACTAAAAATATAAAAAAGTATGTCTGATTTGTACCATTTCATCCTCTGTTTGTTCTTGCTGATAGTTTACTACAGATTCCTGTTCTTCCTCCTCCTGATTTAATTCACTCTTTTTCTTGCTCTTATTTTCATCCTTTATATTCTCTGGTTCAGGATCAAAATTGAAAGTAAAAAAATTATATGCTTCTTCAGCAGAAGGAAAATCAGTCTGGACCTAAGAAAAGAAAGCATCATTTATGGTCACATTTACAGTATTTTAATACAACTAAAACAACTAAAACTATCCTTTAATTAGTAACAGCATAATGTTTATGAATCATTTTTAAAAAAATCACACAAACACTAAAACATTGAAATCAAGCGTCTGTTAGATAGCTTGCATTTCAAACTCCTATTACTTAATAAAACACATATTCTATAGTAAGGTTTTTAAATATCAACTGCTTCAGATTTAAATTTGCTCATTTTTTAAACACAAATACACCTGAAATATGATCAGACACCGGAATTATGTTGTAGCTGTGAAACCTTAAGTCTCACACGTGGGGGAAGTAGAGGGGCATTGTGCAAACACCAGTTTCTGGAGATATTCTGCCCAAAGAACTATCAGGCAGAAACAATGCTCTTGAGGGAATTTAGAGAAGCACAGTGAGAAATGACTTTTACACCAACCAGCGAAGGCCCCAGAATCTGGCACACTATACTGAGGGGGAAGAGACATTGTCTTGCCTTGCCTCCTCTGGCACACCTGGTAGCGACATATGTATATGCACCTACACCAGTGGTCCCCAACGCGGTGCCCGTGGGCGCCATGGCGCCCGCCGGGGCATTTGTGTGCGCCCACTGACAACCTGGGCCGGCCCTGCCCCCGGTGCGCGGTGCACTGGAGGCGCCGGCCCCAGACGCGCGACACGCACCGGCACCTGGTGCGCGGCGCTCGGGCGGCCCCAGCCCCGGGGCACATGCCGGTGCAGGGTGCAAGGGCATCCCCATCCCCTAGCGTGCCCCAGGACACGCAGCCCCGCCCCCCGGGGGGGTGAGTGGTCCCATGGCACAAGGCGCTCGGGCGGCCCTGGCCCCGGCCCTGGGGCACATGCCAGCGCCGGGTGCAAGGGCATCCCCGCCCCTGGCGTGCCCCAGGACGCACGGCGTAAGTGGCCCCGCCCCCGGGCGCCCGGGAGCCTCTAAAGGTTGGGGACCACTGAGCTACACTTAGGGAGCACAAGTTGTCAAAATCTGTCCTTAACAGGCTGAACTAATCTTTATAATATATACCTTGTGGCCCAATTAACAGCAGTATTTTGTTGCCATGCATATTATATGTAGAAGTATTGTGACTGTCAATCTATAAGAGAGGAATGTCTAACTAGACATTAAAGCTCCTGTGGGCCCCAATCCTTGTGCCAACATGGCTCTCATTTCACAATTCAAGATACTTTTATCAGAGATTTTTGGGGTTATTTTTAACATTTGTTGGTGAAGTTGCTATGGGGATTTATGAAGATGATCATATTTTAATTGTTTATTAATTTGCTAAGTACCCCAATAATGGAAACGGCATTTTGCAAATTAAAGTTGCAATCCTGACAGCTGCTTCTCACAGTGAAAATCCTGAAGCCACACAAGAGTCCCACCGAGGTCACTAAAGGTTACTGTAATTAAAGAAAATGATTCTTACATGTGACTTTTGCTTGAGCTTTTTGACAGAATCGTGAAACTTGACTCTAGGAGATGTCTGGGATTGATCTTCCTGCATCTGTCTTGACTCATCTTCATCAGACTGCATAAAAACATCTTTTAAATTATTATACAAGGTATTTATTTACAGCACATCAAATGAATGTGGTGAGTAGCTGAGTGTACAAACTACTGAATGTACACAGTAAAATTTTATTCTGATGAAATATTTATTAGAAAGTGGGTGCAGCTGCTAGTAATGTTAGCTCTTTTCTCTTCTAAAGCAAAGCAAAACAGAATTACTCAAATTGTTTAATAAAACTTGTCTGATTCTAATTATGAAAGGAAGAATAGAAACATTTTATAAAATTGGAAGCGGATACTATATTGGCATTTTCCATACTTAATAAAGGAATGGTCAACTTTGGGATACAAGGTAAAATAGAAGTCTTATATTCTTCCACCATCTTGGACCATGTAATCATTTATACAGAAAGCCCTCCAAATTCATGGGTAATACCTTCCGGAGATAGCTGCAAATACCAAAATACACAAATACAGGAGTGGGGGATTTTCACAACTCAAAAACACCACATTGTCCAAAATGAGTGTTTTATTGCCTGCTAAGTATCAAAGGGGTAGACATGTTAGTCTGAATCTATAAAAACAACGAGAAGTCCTGTGGCACCTTATAGACTAACAGATTTATTGGAGCATAAGCTTTTATGGACATAGATACACTTCGTCAGATGTATGACGAAGGCATCACAGGCAAGGTTTCATAGCAACAAAAAACTTTAACTTCAAAGAAGTGGATTTCCAGTTTAACTCAAACACGAAGATAATACTGTATAGTTAACAAACTTCAACTTCAAAACTAATCAGCCAAAGAGTTCTTTTAACTCAATCACTGAGAATCTTACTGTTCCTCCAGGACGGGGAATTAACAGAGTCAGTTTGCAAAGGAACATTGATGGGGGAAGCTGTGAGGGATGATCTCATGTTCCTTTTTGGTCTGCTGATTCCAATTCCCTATTAACTTCACATTACGTAAATTGTGCCTCTTTTTACATTTGTCAGATCACCCTTGCTTGCAGTGAATGACATTGCACTGTCATGACTCCCCAGCACACCCACAGACCAAGGACCACACAACAAAACCTCTTCCACTTTGCCAAATCGGCCGTTTTAGAGAAAGGCTTTCTACTGTTAAGTAGGACCTGTTGGACAACATCTAAGCAACACCTTTCCTCCTCATTCAGCCCTGCAGCAGCCACACTGTAAGGTGCCAGGAGTTGGTCGCCAGATGCATGGTTTGGCATCTGTGAGCAGGTCATACAGAATGGAAGGCTGAATTAACTCAGCAGAGAGGTCTTAAAACCAATGCTGCCTTCACTACGCCAGGGCAATTAGGATGAGTCTGGCTCAATCTGCCTCAAGGTTGGCAATGACCTAAGGAAGGACCAGGATAGGAAGGAATTAATTCAGCAGAGTCGACTGCCAGCTGCAGCAAAAAGCATCGTACAGGGAACCTTGGCTGAGCCACTTCCCAGAATGGAATAGGAAATACTTTCCATTTTCCGTTGTTGCACAGAGGTGCACCCTCTTACCCAAATCATGGGGACCTATGTTATGAACACTATCCAAAGAACATTTGTCTTCAGAGACTACTCATGTCTCAGGAAGAAAACCCTACTGAGATGATCTGCAGGACAGTTCTAGATCCCTGGTAAGTGGACTCCTGTCAAGGTGATGTCCTTCTTGATAAAGAAATACCACATGTTGACTGCTTCAAGACATTGTGAATCAGTGAGACCTTCCCCCAGGGTTTGTTCACATAATATACTGTGGTAGTATTTTCCATGTGTGAATCACTGAATGCCTGATTCAGTGTAAACAGCACAACATGCATTGTGACTAGCCTGAAATTCCTGCATGGGGACTCCTGCCAGTACAAGGACTTCAAGACTAATGGAGAAAGGTGAAACACTGTGTCCAGAGAATGAAGGGCAGGGCAGGGCAGCAAACCATGCTGAGCCACATCTGAAGAGAACAAAGAAATATGTCTAAAATGTACTAGAATTCTTTAGCTCCGTGGTCACCAACCCGTTGATTGCGAGGCCTCGACCAGTCGATCACGAGGTGTTCGGGCAACCCTGCGCCCCATTTTCCCCCCACCCCCGAGAAGCCCCACTGCCTACCTCTAGTGTAGTGCCGGCTTCCCGCGGGGTGGACGGAAGTCCTCTCTGAAGCTCGCATCACTTCCGGGGGTTCCGGAAGTGCGCGGGCTGCTCCCCCTCCCACAGCTCTGTTGCGTGCTGGTTGGCCCTAGAGGAGGAGTGCGGAGGCTTCACTGCGCCGGCAGCGCCGGAGGGGTGAGTTGGGCGCAGGGGTTTCCCTGCGCCACGGGAGCGGGAGTCGGCCCTGAGGTTTGGCCGGGCTGCGGGAGAGAAGGGAGTTGGCCGGGCCGGGCCACGCCGTGGGAGGGGGGGTTTGACCCCGGGGCAGGTGCCCACGGGGTGTGGCCATGCTGCAGGAGGGGGTTGGCTGCGCCGCGCCGCGGGAGGAGGGTTTGGCCCCGGGCAGGTGCCCGGGGGGTTGGCCGCACTGCAGGAGGGGAGGGGCCGCGCCGCGGAAGGGAGATTTGGCCCCACCGCGGGAGGGGTGGGAGTTGCCCCATGTGCAGGCTCCCGCGGGAGTTTGACCCCGCCACGGGAGGCGGGGTTAGCCCTGAGGGAGGCCAGCGTGGGG